CTTTGATAATGAAAATGCATTCTGTTGCTGTGTCCAAGAACTTGCGGATACTGCCTTCATCATTGTTCTTCAGCAGTTCCATGTCCACTAGCTGGTTGACGGCGTTAGCAAATATTTTGCGCGTATTTTCGTAGCGCTTGCATATTAGTTCCCAAGCCGAGTTGTAGTTAGCAGACGAGCCAATTAATAAATGGCCTACGACCATTTTGGCTTCTCCCTTAAGGCATGACTTCAGGTAATTCAGCTTCCTTGTCTCGCTGATATCTCTCCTGTTGTGAATCACCTCAGAGAATAACTCGAAGAACGTCGGCCACTCTTTGGGGCTTCCGTTGAAGTGAGGAAGATCCACTTTCCGTAGCTCTGGAACGTCTTCTTGTGTATTTTGCAAGCCAGCTACTCTTCTGTTTAGTTTTTTTTGTGAGTATGCTGACATTGCATTCCAGCTCATCGATCTCATCGATGTCGAAGGCAAATTTTTCGTATTTTGCCTCTAAATCCGTGAGCGTTGACTGGACTTTGTTCCACAGGAAAATCAACTTGTCTTTATAGTCAAGGATTTCTTCCTGGCCGCTGAGCTCTAGATTGGCATACACTTCTTGCATGTGTTGCCTTACTTTTAGAGCTCGTTTGTCCACAAGATCAACCAGCACATCCATTGGGCTCGAGCTTCTTTGGGAAAATATTATTTCCTGCTGCCTGTGGATGGATGCTGTTTCGTCGGTGTCTATGGCGTGGTCGGCAACTTCGACTTTCATCAGAGACTCCTCGTAGCTCCTGATGTTTTCCATTACGCCATCATATATTTTCTCCTTAAAATATTGATGATCGATGACACCGATTTTGACCAGTATTAGATGATTGGCAGTAAACTCTGCTGCCAATCTATCAATGGCTGGTAACGCATCCTTGTTTGTGATGCTCTGCCGGATCTTGTCATAGATCTCTGATTGCTTTTTAAGCAACTCCAGAGTTTTTGCCGACAGCATTTTGATTGTGTTTTTTCCGTGTGAAAATTTGAACTTAATTTACCCTTTGGCTTGACCCGTTGGAGGTGTTTTTGTTTTGATCGCCTGGTTGATCGTGTTGTGCCTCTACTCACAGCTCGAATTGGTAAGCCAAAGAAAATTATTTAAACAATTTTTCACTTCACTTTCACACTTGTCACAAACGTAGCCTTGTATATTTTACTCGAAGGACCAAAAAATGTGTGTACACATCACAAACGAAGCCTTGTGGCTTCGGCTCGAAGGACCAAAAAATGTGAATACAAATAACTGTGGTGGTGTTCAGTTGTGTAATAATCTTTATTCGTCTGAGCAAGAGTTCTTATACCCTGGCTCATGCGTATTTCATCTCTTAACCTAAGTACATTATGTAATGAGTGGAGCTCCAAGCGGGAGACATACTATGCTCTCCCGTTGTGTAGCTTCATATATATAGCTTGTATATACTTATATGCATATGGCATAAACATTAGGCAAGCGGCATAGACTTTAGGCAAAGTGCGTACGCGGCATCTCCCGCGCTGCTGTGGTCTGACCATAAGTGGCTGATCATATTACATTTGTTTATCTTTGCGCTCGCCCTATGTTTATGCGTAGGGACAAATGTCACTATATGCGTATTTAGTATACACTATCATATGTTAGGCATATGACGCATCTATATGCAGAATACTCTACATTGCTTCGGATATTATTGATATGTTATTAAATATACTACAGTATGTTCATGCCCGAACACTAAGTGATAACACTGATCTTGCAATTTGTGCAAGATATCAAATAGCTGACCATTTCGATCAAGGCGCTGAACCGAGCTCTCGCATATGTATAAACATAGATTTTTATATGGTGGTGTACATGTATATATATATTCCAATTTGAATTCTATAGCTTTAATAGCGGTGAATATATAAATAAATGTAAAACAAATGGCCAGATGTCCTTTTAATACGTCTTAATCTTAGTACACCTGAAAATAGAGAGAAGACAAATCTTATCTATCTCATATAAAATATTTATTTCTGGCTTCTGGTGTTCCTGATAATCGCCTAAAAGGAACAAATCAAGCTTTTTGAAGGCAGAGCAATGCACAAGTATTGAAGAAGGAATGTCAAGAAATCGAATTATTACCGAAACTTAGGTCTTCGGGATTTTCAATGTTTTTAAAGCATTATATATAGCAGCCCAAGGTTGATGGTATATCTGTAGCCACATTACATACGGATGCCATCAAATTTTCATTTTATCTGATTTAGATCGTAGACTATTTAGAACTTTTAAATTTTAAAACCATCACAACAAAATTATAAAATAAGTTTGATATTTAATAATTCTTTTGAATCATGTTTCAAATTTACCTGTTATATATTATATATTTGATAATATATTAATCAAGTATATAACAAAGATTAATATTTTTCACACAGCCACACTCAATACATCTGTACTACGAGCTGTAATCTATTTTAATTTGAAATCTAATTTTAAGTGGCTTAGCCAATTATCAATCTTTATTTTTTAGGCATTTCGTTATATTTCGACTGTCAACAATTTAATATGAAATTTAAGTTTGCGCTATCTTAAATGATTATATAATATTTTCTAGCCAAAGATTGGAGAGGATCTTCAAATTACTTTTAAGTACCCTAGTCAGTGTATTGCTTAGGACGTTGAGTACATAGTCATCGAAATAAATAATGCTAAATATATATAGTAGTCTTCCAGTTTTTACCAATCCCTTTTAAGAACGGAATGATTTACTAGGTAGAAACCCGACTTACTTACCACCAATGGAATTTACCATAAGCTAAGCTATGCCTTAACTTTAATAAACAATGGTTGAATAACCCTGCATGCTTATAGGCTTTTAGCCTTAGACCAAGTTTAAAGTAAGCATAAATGTTGGTGTTGGGCACTACCGAATGCAGAATACTCATTCACCATCTAAAAACATTTCAATGGTGACTGGCGAATAGGCAACGGACTGGCGGAAAACTTCGTGAATGACTTAAAAAACATATTAAGGTGCTGAAATTTTAAATTTATAGTATTTTCATTGTATAAGAGAATATAATTTTTTTTTATTTTTTATTTTCATCTATATGATGTATATATGCATATTCTAGCAAAAGAAATTTGCAAGCATGTACAAAATTTCGACTAAATAAACATGCTCCCCGCGCCCGCACCCTCACAATCAAGAAGATAGATCAAGCATAGAACCTAACTTAACATCGGCCGTTCGAAACAATTCTGCCATTTCCGCAACTTCATCGCGCATATTATTCTTTAAACATATTTCTCATTTAAGTAAAAATTATAATTCAATTTAAAGAACTTGGGTCGATTTCCAAAATACAACAAAAATCAAACTTGTACAAACTAAATGCAATATTTTATGACTCCAGTTCTAACAAGTAAAAAGCTCTAGTCAGGGCGACTCGGAGATACCCTGATACCTGTCCCATCTGCGTTTTTTAATATTTTTCAGTTTGAATCGAGTATTAAAAAAAAAACAAATATCAAATAAATACCGACATTACGACACCAAGATTTGAACCGACTATGCCTACGAAACGTACATCAACTCTACCAATACCACCACTTCATAATTAAAAAATTTAAAAACGACAAAAACCCACTGCACTGCTTGTGCAAGAAGTTGCTAATGTCAAAAATAGTAGTTAAAAATTTAAGCACAATTCAATCCCTATGTCGATTCTTTGAATAGAAAAGATTAGACTATTTGAATGCATATGTGTGCACACGTATAGGAAAAATGCTAGCGCTTAGCGCTGCTTGACATGTGCTTTGTGAATTGGCCAAACGTTCTGTTGTACTAAATGCATTTTAATGAAATTTTCAGCACATGATGTACATATTTTATTAGATTAAAAAAACTGCAAACTCCTTCACATATTGACTCTATTTTCAACTGAACTTAAACTTAAAAGTTTGGGAAAATTTGAAGTCGGTATCTAAAATATAACAAAAATCAAAACTGTAGAAAATAAACATAAGACTAAATACATAATTTGGAGGCGCTAACTCTTAAGCTTTATGAGATTTATTTTAATAACTATATATTGATCATGTTTTTAGTCTATAGCAATAAGACGGGAATAGTTTGCGATTACTTTAAACAAACTTGCTATGCGCGTGCTATATACGGACGCGTATATAGCGTATGGACGCGGATTGTTCGCTGATTAAGAGTTTATATACTTTATGGGGTCTGCTACGCCTTCTGCCTGTTATAAACATTTTTTTTATTTCATCAACACAGACGGGCAAACTGGCAGGCAAATTTGTATATAACTGATCTAAGAGTTTTTTCCTACAAGCTCTTTATGAAATAATAATATGATAAGAATTATCCAATTTAGTCCTTGCGAGTTAAGATATAATAGATACAAGATAAAATTTAAAAGTCTTTAAAATACATATGTTTACTAAAATGAAGCTAGCGCCAACATTTATTAATGGTTGGTTCTTGTTTTGTTGTAAATAAATATATATTATAATAAAACTAAAATATTAGCAATTTGTGTAAAAGTTTTCTTGCAATTCAACCGGAAGGTAGAATATTGTTAAAAATCTCCGATATATTCTCTTCAGAGTGCTACAACAGCTGCAGTATGACCTGTGGCGGCCTAATGACTACACTATCAGGTTACTTGTACTGGTAATTTAGTTAAATACACAATGCAAACTTGCTAGCAATGTGCTTCCAACACAATGGTAAATGACAGATTCACACAGACACATAACCGATAAATCTTTGTGAACTTTTAATTAACATAATCGCAAATAAATTTTAATTGTATTTTTATCACAATTCATTTGTTTTGCATCTTTCAATTAAATATGAGGAAATTCATCTAGCTGCAGAGAAGTTCAAAGTCTTAAGAAATTAATCTTTTTTCAAGAACATTTATTTCACGGTCAGTAACTTATTATTATTACGCTAATGTAGTCCTGTAACTTTAAAATTTTATTCGGTTGGATAATTAATGGTTATATATCGGCCTGTATTTGTTTCAGGTTTTTTGTATATATACATAAGTAGAAATAGAAACTGGAGTGTTATAAACGGTAGTTCAGTTGCATTTTAGGGTATCTACTGCTCGGACATTCCTGAAAAGGTGCTCATCCTTGTTATATTTTTATATTTATTTTATTTTACAATAAGGGTAAACAAATATACACAGAAACATAAATTTTAGATTACAATTATAGGAGCATTATTTTTTTCCAAAATCAACTTTTTACAAGAGGGAGGTTGTAATCATTTGATTTAGTATTTGCGGCAATTTTGTAAGGTCCATACATACGTAGCTCTGGCCCACTGGCATTTCAGTTTTAATTCTTGAACAAATAATAATTAAGTAAGTTGATAATACAGTGAGTCATCTAAGCTTATTTTATAGTATATACACTTACCTTTCAGCCTCTTCTGCCAAACTTCCAATGAATATTACATATCCCTTAACCTTTGGTTCACTGCGGTTTAAAGCCTCGGCTAAATCTTTTGATGAGATACCATATCGCGCGAGATTGGCATCACTAAGAACAACGACAATACTATTGTCGTAATCGACTTCTTCGCCCAGGGTGGAACAAGCTTCGCGTGCCGCTTTTACGGTGGTATCACCGGGCCAACAAAATTGCGAATGAGCATGCATCATACGAATTATATCAAAACGCTCCCTGTCGTTTTTAGGCCAATTACCAACATTGACAAAAGGAAGCTCCCAACCTTCACCACTATGGCCAACAATATCATACACTATTTTTTTTTCGTAACCCTCAAAGGCTTCCATAATCATGACTACGGCCTCCAATTGACGGTCTAGCCGTCCATCATAACCATTGAATCTAGAAAAACGATGTATTAAATGAAAGATATATTGTCAAAATTATGTAACACCCACCTGTACATTGATCCTGAGACATCAACTACAAGTTTAAGACGATTAGGTTTTTCATTACTATTATTCGTCCAGGGATTCGCCTCAGTACGTCGCCTGTAAATATTTTTCTCTCCGGTGATACCCTCAATAAGACGAGTGTCGTCCACGTCACCATAAGTTTGGTATTTTTGCCATTGGCGTTCTTTACTTTTACTTTGTAAAGTCTCTAACATGTTTTTCAGTTGTAGTACTTGTTTTTGGTTGGCTTCACTGAATTGAGCGTACAACCGATGGTCGTGAGCAGACATTTTTATCTCTTGTAGCTTCTGCTCATATAACTTTCGGTTCATTGCACGTGCGGCTTGCTTTATTTCCTCTGGAATGTCAGCTTTCTCCTCATCCGTCAGTTGATACACAGTATGGCTCTTGTCAAAACGAAAGGGCCCACCCTTACCACCTAGACCCGCTGTATCGCGTCCCCCACTACCACCGGCCCACGTGTTGCCACCAACATGGGGTTCATTTTTAGGATCTAATTTACCAAACTTCGGTCTTGACACACTTAACCCGCTATGGCGTTCGATAGTCAACTTAAGCTGTTGTTGCTTACGAAGAGTTTGCATTTCATTTCTTGCATATGCATCAATAGGCAGACCATGTTTAGCTAAAACATTGGTTACTTGCTGCAACGTCGCCGGCTGGTAGCGATCAAAATCAAACACGTTCCCTACTAGTTCGGACATGTTTTCGTCTGGAAAACGTTCCAAGTGTTTAACAATGCTAACGACTTCCCTCATAGAATACGGATAATTAAGTAGCCCCTCGTCTGCCATGCTGCGAAGCTCGCCAAATGCATTCACTAACATTGTGAGTGTTTTAATAGGTACAGTGGGTCCATATCGCTGTAACAGATATATCTCTGATTCTGGAGTGGGATTCTCGATGGCATGGCAACTAAAAACATCGCCTACTGCCGCAAAGAAATCATTGCCTAAAAATGGAAACCCTGGCCGGTTTGCCAGTACAATAACTCGAAAATCTTTGTGCGTTTCGATTAAATTTGGTTCATTTGCGTCAACTCCAAATGGGACAATCATACGCCCATCTGAAAGCACCATCTTGCCGTTCCCAACTAAAGTGCGAAGAATGCAGGAAACATTCACCGGTGCTTTATCGGCTTCATCTATGACAAGTACATGACCTAACTTTACTGCTTTTACTAGGGCGCTATCCTGATAGACCACTTTTCCATTATGTAGCGTAGATTGTACTGTAAGGCTGTGCACCGTGGTATCCCTATGTAGCTGTAAATACTCCCGAGGCCGACGCATGAGCTCAAGTAGGCGATCAATAAGCTTATTTTTGCCCACGCCCTGATTTCCCACTAAAAGCAAGTGCTCACCGATAAGAAAGTCCTGTAGAAGGCGTTCCAGCATCATAACGTGCTGCGGCATATCATAAAATAGAGTGCTGGGCACTTTTGATTGTTGAACCGGTGATATTTCTCCCAAATCCATCTCAGTTTCTCCAATTCGTAATTTATTGTTTACCACGTTAATAAGTCGTCTGTTTTCATCATTACTAAGAGTTGTATTCGCCCTTTTTTCAATTCCAGCCTCCATCATTGTCTTTTCCAAAACTGTACGCGTAAGGGAGGGCATAAATTTGATCAGAAATGTATGTTGCAAAATTTCATGAACGTTGTTCAGATTGCTTGATGGATATGCTTTTAAGCGTCGGGCCACTTTTACCAACCGGCGTGTTGATAACGTGTCAGCTAGACCATGAAGCAATGAATCTTTGGAGTTTCGTAATAATTGCGCCAGCGTCAGTAGCTTCAGCATCTCAGGGTGCAAATTGTCGCACAATTGAATAAGTAATTCTTGCTCTTCACTCTGCTGTAATGGCCGCAGCTCCTGATAGATAAACATGCTTATTAATTGTGGAGTCAGCCAATTAGGCTTGCCTGTCCCCGATTTCAAAGGTTCACCCAATGCTATAATGCGAAAAGAATCTGGTATTGGTAGCACACCGCGTTCAGTAAGTTGACTCTTGTTAAATCCGCCCTGCAGAAGCGCCTGATATCGATCCTGACGAAGTAAAGTTGTGCCATCACATAATTGTATTTCGCGATCATGGATTAATCTATAGGCGATCAGATGAGAAAACATTATGACATAATATAAACAAAAATATTTAAGTCTTTTAGTCTATAGAGTTCACTTTCAGTGACACACCATTCTCGTATACATTAATATACTAACCAACGAACAAAAATATTTACTGTAGAATTTTTTTTTCTAAAATTTAAACTCTATAAGGTATATAAAAAAAAATAAAATGTCACCGAAATTGGAAATCCTCTACCTATTATAACGTGGACATGTGCAAACAGACGGAAGAATAGTCAATATAACAAATAGATAGATTCTGTTTGGTTATCGAAAACATTACTCTGTCACTGTAAAAACACTAAGTAGTTTTGATTGACCCCGGGTTGACAGGATTTTAAAATTCTGACGTATACTAAAACTTGGAATGTGTAATTTATTTTTTAAGCAATGATTCATGAACATCTACCGTTGCAGAACCGGAACTGTGCTTCTATGAAGATTTTGAAGGCCAGATAGTATTGCCACTGATCCAGTTTTCGCTGCCCTGATCAATGGGGAATCACGCCAAATGGTGTCGCCTTCTTCATTAGTAACGCGCTGCTGTATAAGATCCCTAGACGTCAAATCTTCATATAGCATCATTGGTTCAGGGATTTGATTAACTAGGCGCAAAAGCTCTGTTATTAATGTTTCTTTGCCAACACCTTTATTGCCCAGCAAACAGACATCTCCAACTGCATAAGCTTGCAACAACGCAGCAAGCACTTGCCGCTGATGCGGCAAGTCCACAAATTCTGCGGTTAATTGTGTGGGCGATCTACAAGGCATGGTTATATGTATTTCGTCCAGATGCACATTTACAACAAGATCTTTAGTGCAGCTACTTATACGTTGTACACTCTGTTTGCCGCTATGATTGAGCGACATATTCGTAAACATTTCATCAACTTGTTTTTGCTGCTCTGGCAATAGAATAGATTTGTAGGGATACAGAGATATTAGCACATCGTGCACAGTAAGCAGCGGATTTCTTTCCTAAAAATGTACTTAAATACTTAATACTAGATTGAGATTATGTCATTTTAGTTTGTGATTTACCATCATTTGAACGCCTTGACGAAGATTATGCAATGGAAAATCAGGAAGCTGAAGTTCGTCGCTAGCTGTTTGAAGTATCAATGCACAGGTAAGCAACTGTTTTAGTGCTGAAGAAGAAACAGTGGTTAATAATTCCTGTAGATCTTCGTACAGCTGTTCAAAAGTGTATGGTAATATGTTTCGCGACTGAAAGCGTGATCGTAGTGGTGGATCTAGTGGTGTGCCTTTATATTTATGTGTGGGAAGTCCAATTGCCACTATGCGGAAGTGTTCTGAGACACGAAGTAAGCCCCATGATTTAAGCTGCTGTTGACTGTGTGTCTGCAATTTGGAAGTGCTTTTAAACCTGTATATGAGTTGACAACATTCTTGAATACACACACCTTTAACAAATTATCATAGCGATTCGGTGCAATAAGAAATTGACCAGTTTCCAGGTGCATTTCACGATTTTCTAGGAGATTGTTGAGTACCGGCAGCACGTTGCGTTCGGCATGCTCAATGCCGTCCAGTACCAGCACTCGTCCATGCAAGGCAGCGCGTACTGCGGCTTGATCATGGTATTCGGCAGACTTTCCGTGAATCTCTCGACGTTGCTTAATATCGCTTTCGGTGGTATCGCGACTAAGCGCAACATATTCAAATTCACGTTCCATAATTTCTAGAAACTGCATAACCAGCTGCCGTCTCTGTGGCCCTGGTACACCCAGGAGAAACATGTCTTGCTTTAGTGAATCCTTTTGCAACATCCAACGTAGATGATGAAGTGCTGTTTGATCCAACTTAATTCTTCCATCCTGTCCATAAGTTACTATAAACGTATTTATATTGAATTTGACAGAATTATATACTGAAACAATCTTTGATCTATCAATAAATAAAAAATTTTACCATATTTATGTGGTATCAAATGGCGTTCCTTGGGCTTTGTTAATCGCGCGTGTACATCTCCAATGATTATCTCTCTGTTATCTGTTGCTTTACTCATATTTATTGCCATGCCATAACCTCTAGTCCCGGCAATCTTCTGTTTAAGCCTATGACGCAACAGGCACCTCTCACGAAAAAACCGATGCAATAGCATGGCAATTAAAGACGGTAGGGCCCTTTTAAGTAGAAGGATTGGTACGTTCGATAGGTTAGTTAAAAAAGTTAGTTAATAAACTTAAGGAACGAACTTTTAATCATTCATTTCAAATTAACGATGTTTAGATAGTACTTACTTCTATATTTTAGATATAAAATAGTTCTCGTCAATTCAAAACTTGACAAAACCTAAAAAAAAAAATTAACAAAAAATTTGACAATTTTTTTTAAAACAGGCATTATTTACTATCGGCCGCGTTTAGAGATAAGTAAATGCTATTTGTGGGTAATCGATATCTTAATAAATATCGTATTTTCCATTGAAATTTTCACCCATAGCTCTGTGAATCGCACTTAACATTAATATTTTAAAATATTTTGAATATATCATATGAATTATCACAGATATAAATTATCAACTATTTTCGTATTATCATCTACAAATTCGTTCCACATTATTTCATAACACATTTTTATTATTCATATTGTACTCCGGTTCTGCCATAGTCATGCCTTCAAACATCACAAATAATGGAAAGATAGTTATATTTTTGATACTATTCATAATATATGAATAGGCATACAAATGGCAGACTTTTCTAAACGGAAGCTTGTACTAGTATTACGAAACAAAATAGATAATTGTTACACCATTTAAATGTGACAAACTGATATTATGTTATAGAGGTTTGTCTTCTATTAGTCACAGATCATAATTCACCATCTCAAGCCTTTGGCGATAGTTGATAAATATTTAGCACTCCTATCGGTGACTTTAATCATTCCACAATGTCAATGTTGTTTTTTATGTTTTACGTTAATATTTTTATCAAAATATCTCTTTTCTTCGATTGGTAGAAACCCTTGAAACACTAAAAATAACTCATTTGAACATTCTTTATCTACAGGAACTTTTCTAAATAAAATTAAATAAATAACAACAATAAAAATCTAAGTAATGACAAACAGTAGCACAAAATAAAGGTGTCAATTCTCCAATAAACACAAAAAAAAAATACTTTAAGAAATAATAGTTATAATGTCGAATCATAATTTTTTTATGATTTCATTTGCCAGTTTCTGCAATGGCTTACTTTGGAAAATTTATATTTATTTTATTCCTATTAATACAATTTTTCATTTTTATTCTTTCATCATTATCTTTTAAATTTAATATATATCAATTTCCTATAATACCAAGAGTTTATACTTGCTGCCAAAGGGAGGTCTTCGAGTTCTATATATTTATTTCATTTTTAATTATGTAGGATTTCTTCTGTACACTGCAAATTTTAAATACGATAACAGAACATGAATCGAAAGTGTGACGTCAATAACAAATTGTTGGTGAATATTACATTTTTGTTTTCGTATTATAATGAAGTTATTATTACAAGTTAACACATAAAATTGGTTAAAGGTATCGATAAGCATTTCTTTTAAGCATTGCCATTTGCTACAAAGCCATTTCGCTGACACATAAGTTCAGTGCTCCGACCGCAACGGTTGGCAGCGGTAACCCGGTACTTGGCTATGTCGCGAGTGTCCGCGTCCGGCAACTAGCCTTACGACATTTCATTATTAATTGTCACATTGCTGAGCCACAAGGCCAGGAATCGGAATGCTTAATTATATTCAATCTAACACCTAACCACTCTGGATCTGGCCAACGATACCACCTATCGAGGACCCCTGGACAGGACGGATCACTTAACTGGCGCCCAACGTGTTAGGATTCATAACCTGGAAGATTCAACAGGCTAGAGTCTTAAATATCATATAAGTTCAAAAAAGAATTCAAATCGAAATAATAAAAAAATATAACACATTAAAACGCAACTGAAGCACAACAGTGCAGTTGTAGGAATCCAGCGAAACAGAGTGGGAAGCAGAAAATGATAGTCATACACACAACCTACAACTCAGCATTAGCCAAGACTAAAACCCAGTTTTCCACAACCAAGACTTCATGGACGCAAACCAGGTGCAAGCACTGATCATGAGTGCCGTTAGCCAAGGCTTGGCCCAGCAAGAAGAAAGGTTTCAGTCTCAGCCATGACAGCAAAGACAAACAGATTGAGCGCTGAAACTCCACAAATAGAAAGTTATCAAAGACTTTCAGTTCAGCCAGAAATACGATGTGAAGTCCCTCTTGATCTTGTAAAGTCTGTCCACGAATTTAGTGGAGGCTCTGACGACTACTGTGCATGGAGGCAGTCAGCCTGCGATGTTCCTTTGATGCAATTATATGCTTTGACTTGCTAGCGCGAGCGAAAGTAGCATTACATTTGCAAGAGGAGGGCATGCTCACTTGTCTAAACAAATCGGAGCAGTTAAAGTATCACAAATATGAAAGTGTAAACTTGACAGATGTTGATGACATAGAAGTACCAACTAGGTAAAAAAACAAGTAAGAAAGCTCTTGTCGGAGTGCCCGACTAGGAGATACCCTCATCCCAGTACTAATTGCGTTTATTACTATTTTCCGTAGTTTGTATCGATCGATATTCAAAAAAAAGGAAACAAATAAAAAACGACATTACGATACCAGGATTCGAACCCGGACTGTTTTCGCAACGTGCACCAACTCTACCAACACCGCCACTTCATAATTTAAAAACAAACAATAAAAAATATTTCATCTCCACCGGTCTCGAACCCTGGGACGAGCTGCATACGAGCGCCGCCTCTACCAACGCAGCCACTGCACCTCTTGCAAGAAGAGTTGCAAATTTGAAGTTGAGTATCAGCTGATAATTCAAGCAGTATTCAATCGCAATTTAGATTCTTCAAATAGAAAAGAATACACGCCTTTGAATGTATGTGTGCACACGCATAGGAAAAATGCGTGCGCGTGGCGCTGCTGACATGTGCTTTTGCAATTTGGCCAAACGATTTGTTTAATAACTTCTGTTTTACTTAATGGATTTTAATGAAATTTTCAGCATATGGTTTACATATCCTATTGGCTTGGTTGAGATGCAAACGCCTTCATATAATAGCCCAAGTTCCAACTGAACTTAAATTTGAAGAATTTGGGGTAATTTTGAGCCGGTATCCAAAATCCAACAGAAACCAAAATTGCATAAAATATACATAAAACTAAATACAAAATTTGGAGGCTCTAGATCGTTTTAATTCGATAACAATTAAATGCGAATAGGTATCGAACATTTAAAACACACTTGACCTGCGCATGCTATACCTCTAAATCTCTAGCTCTTATAGATGCTGAGATCCACGCGTCCACACATACGGACAGACGGACGGACGGACAAACAGACAGACGTACAGGGCTCAATCGGCTCGGCTTGTCATCCTGATCAAGAATATATATACTTTATGGGGTCTTCCACGCCTCCTTCTGCCTGTTACATGCATTTGCACAAAACCATTATACCCTGATACCAGGGTATAAAAATTCGAGGCTATGATTTTGAAGAGAATCGAGGCATTTTCGACCGCTAACTTTCAATACCTCTGTCATTGCCACTATTCGAACCATAGATAATGAGCCGGTATATTCTAAATTATACCCACACCCTATGGGAGTTTTTGATTTCATAAACACAGAAATCAAACAATTAATGAACGATTGCATTATCAGACCATCCAGATACCCATTCAACAGCCCTTCCTGGGTCGTTGACAAAAAGGGGTTTGACACGGATGGCAACAAAATAAAGAGGTTAGCAATAGACTTCAGAAGGCTCAATGAGCGCACAATAGCCGATCGATACCCAATGCCAAGCATTCCTATGCCTATGGAAAGGCACCATTTTTCACAACCCATTTAAACTCAAGTTATCAACAAATCTACTTAGCTGAGCGCGATCGTGAAAAAAACCAAATACGAATTCTGCCGATTGCCTTTCGGACTCAAAAATGCGGGAAGCATTTTCATTCGGAGGTCAATCGATGACGTTCTCAGAGAACACTTCGGAAAGATTTGCTATGTGTTTGTCGATGACGTCATAATCTTTTCAGAAAACGAAAACGATCATGTGCGACACAGTTTTAGAATGCATATACAGTGCCAACATGCGTGTCGCCCAAAAAAGACATTTTTTAAAGAAAGCGTAGAATTTTTAGGCTTTGTAGTGACCACAGATGGAGCTAAAACAGACCCCGAAAAAGTGAAGGCCATACAGCAATTCCCTGAGCCAGAAAACTTATTCAGCTTGCGATCATTCCTTGGCTTGGCCAGCTATTATAGAATATTCATTAAAGATTTTGCATCAATAGCAAGACCATTAATAAACATACTCAAGGGAGAAAATGGCTCTATAAACAAGCAAGTCCAAACAGGCCCGAGTTGAGTTTAACGAAACTCAACGCAATGCTTTGCGGAACATCGTAGCGTCAGAAGACGTCACCCTCATGTACCCTGACTTCAAGCAACCCTTTGATCTTACTACTGATGCCTCTATGAACGGCATTGGGGCTGTTTTGTCGCAAGGAGGCAGACCTATTTCCATGATTTCCAGAACATTAAAGGAGAGCGAATCTCATTATGCTACCAATGAAAGGGAGTTCTAACCATTATCTGGGCCTTAGGAAAGCTACAGAACTATCTATATGGAACCAAAGAAATGAACATATTCACTGACCTTCAACCCCTTACCTTCGCTGTCTCCGACAAAAACACAAATGCAAAAATCAAAAGATGAAGAGCATTTATTGCTGAACACAACGCAAAATTCTATAAACCAGGGAAAGAAAATTTAGTGGCAGGTGCCCTTTTCAGGCAAAATTTAAACGCTATACAAGACGAACCTTCATCAGAGGCACAATTCCAGCTACAAAGAAAATTTATTATCTTCGGCAGCAAAATTCGCCACATCATTAGCTTCTTAACTAAAAACTCTCTTCGGGAAACATTAAAACCTCTCATTCGAGATGCAGTTAACGCAATTCATTGCAACCTTCCCACACTAGCTAGCTTCCAGCATGATCTTATTTTAAGGTTTGCTTCCACCAAATTTCGACATTGTAAAAACTATGTTTCAGATATCACTTATAAAAACGAACAAATTGAAATTATTACGTCAGAACACAGCAGCGCGCACAGAGCCGCACAGGAAAACGTGATTGTTTTACGTTACTTCGTGACTACTATTTTCCAAAAATGAACAGATTAGCAAAAGAAAATGTAGTTAATTGCAAAACATGCACAAAATCTAAATATGACAGGCATCCACCAAAACAACAGTTGGGAGCCTCACCAATCCCGTCTTATGCTGGCGAAATGCTACATATAGACATTTTCTCCACTGACAAAAAGCTCTTCCTCACTTGCTTAGACAAGTTCGCTATCGTGCAACCAATCCCGTCACGAACAATAGTAGACTTAAAAATGCACATTATTCAGATTGTCAATTTGTTCCCAAAAACTAAAACAATATACTGCGACAACGAAGCGGCATTCAACTCAATGGTATCATTACTCAAAAATAGCTACAATCTAAAAATTGTTAATGCATCACCATTACACAGTGTTTCCAACGGCCAAGTAGAAATGTTCCATAGCACACTAGCAGACATAGAAGTTTCAAAATGGATAAAGAAGCTAGTGACACAGTTGGGCTAATATTAAGAGAAACAGTGGAATACAATAAATCAATTCACTCAGTTACCAACAAAAAACCAATTGACATCATATATGCCTCGCCAATTGAATTTAGACAGAGCATCAAAGGAAGAATAGATACCCAATAGATACCAGCACAGCAAGCTGTACTCCAAAGATGTAACTCGGATAGACAAAACAGAGTCTTCTAAGTAGGCGAAAAGGTATTTGTTAAAAATAATATATATGCATAATACTTAAATTAAGAGTAGATTACTAATCGCGCAATAACCCTATTTGTTCTCTACAGGATTCAATTCGCAATTTTGTTAATATCGGGAACGGCACAGAGTCGGATTATCGATTATTCGCATTCCAACTACATCTCGATCATAGATGGGAAGGTATTGATATGGGAATATAGAGGTTATTTAACGCATTCTAGAAATTAACGGAATTCCATGTTATAGCAGATGAAACCGTCGAGTTAGAACTACTCCCACACTCGCATATGCGAAAATTGTTAGACACAGATATAGAGCATATAAGAAGGTTATTTTTGTCGTTTTTGAGGTACAAGCCTAAATTTCCTAGGCTCCGCATTAAAAGTCATAGTAGGCACGCCTGATGCCGCCGATTTCGAGAAGGTTAGGTGGTCCGAATCTCAATTGATTGATCCAAATAATAGGTAATTGATTATAAACGCAGAGACGTAAAAGCTAAAAAAAATGACACACCACACTTGTATAAAACTCGATTATCAAGAAATAGAATACTAATTAATCAGACATCTTGATATCTTGATCAGAAACTTGATTATTACAACTACACTGGCGAAAGCCTGCATAATAAACCCAACCATTTTTTAACATTTTTAAAGATTTGAAGCCATTTTAAATGAACACCCCATAGACGTTCCCATAGTTAGTCTTACAGAAGCGTCTATAATTAAGGTCCTTCAGTCCGAAAACATAGTTCACATATTAATAGCTTATCCTAGAGTAAAATTTATCTGCATGAAGTATCTCAACAACACGCCGCGCTACAACTACAAGACGATATCGTGGCCGAAAGCAACAACGACATCCTATCATTCAACGACTCCGTTACAACGAATTTGCGAATTGACGACACAGGATTCCTGCGCACGAGCACAACACGTTGGCAGCGCCGCCTCTTGCCGAACACAGCCAAGCCACCTTCAACCTGTCACACTAATAGACGACGGTGTGATTTTTATTAACGAAAGCACAGCAAAGGTGACCACCGATGATAACCGGGAAGGCATCACGAATAGGACACCCCTCATCATGTTCTAGTTCTCAGCAATCATCAATGATATGAAATACGTGAACGAGCGTGAGACTTTAAGAAAGACACCAGGCATTGCGGGGTCACCGTTACTTAACATCATCAGGCATGACCCAGTACTGATCATACCCCAACTCCTCAGGATAAACAACAGAAATCTTCAAGTCATCCAGAATTTCGGAAGCGAGTTGACATCCGCCGAAACCTCTAAGAACCTGGCTACGATCGGCGTCTTCCTCAGCATCGCTTTCATTGGCTTCATCATCACTTGGCTGGGAGTAAGAAGATGGCAAACTTCAAGGAAGCTGCAAGGAATCATCAACGGCTACAAGGTATCCGGGGACGGTCAGAAACTTGAGGTGCGAGTAGTTAACATATAAAATTGGCTTAAGGTATCGATAAGCATTTCTTTTAAGCATTGCCATTTGCTATAAAGCCATTTCGCTGACACATAAGTTCAGTACCCCGACCGCAACGGTTGGCCACGGTAACCCGGTACTTGACTATGTCGCGAGCGTCCGCGTTACCGTTTATGCTGAGACGGCTTGCCGACTGAAGCTTAGCAGCTTTGTAGTTCCTGACAATGATCTTCAACTTAGGCCATAGGTTATTAGTTTTAGTTTTGTTCTTATAATTTAAGCTAACGCACGTACGAATAAACGCTGCTCCGGCAACTAGCCGTACGACATTTCATTATTAATTGTCACATTGCTGATCCACAAGGCCAGTAATCGGAATACTTAATTATATTCAATCTAACACCTAACCACTCTGGATCTAGCCAATGGTACCATCTATCGAGGATCCCTGGACAGGACGGATCACATAAGTTACATACATATATTAAAAACATATATATGGAGTATATGTCTGTTCAGAAGCTTAAGCATTTAATTATATGACAATTATTTCAGCTGTCAGGGCATATATTATATATGTGCATAATTTGTACATATATTTATGTGCATAAAACGCATTACGACATCGAGTTTGGAACCCACAATTTCTACGCCACACGCATCAACTCTACCAATACCGCCAATTCATAAGTTAAAAAAAAAAAAAATAAATAAAAAATGTTCTTTCCCCGCCAGGCTCAAACCCGGGGATTACCACAAACGAGCGCCGCCTCTCCCAACACCGCCACTTCACTGCGTGTACAGAAATTTGCAAATTTGAACTTAAGTAGCAGCTGATAATTCAAGCACGTTTTGTTTAATAACTTCTGTTTTACTTAATGAATTTTAATGACATTTTCAGCATATGATCTACATATTCTATTGGCTTGGTAAACATGTATACTCCTTCACATAATGGTCCTATTTCCAACTGAACTTAAATTTAAAGAATTTCGAGAGATTTGGAGCCAAAATACATCAAAAATCAAAATTGCAGAAAATATACATACTGAATACAACATTTGGAGGCTACTGTTAATATTAGTTTCAACACACTTTGAATTTTAACTTACATACGCTTTAAACTAATTCAAAGTTTTCAATATGATGCAAATAACTTTATAAACACAATCACAATCAAGACTTTTAGGTCTTTAGTCTTTTGTTAGTTTTGGGAAATAAATCGCGGCACTCAGAAATTTGGAGCTACATCTTTTGTAAACATGTCAACTCTTTGACCCTATTTCCAACTGAACTTAAATTTTAATAATTTGGGGATATTTGGAGCAGGTATCCAAAATATAACAAAAATCAAAATTACATAAAATATACATAAAACTAAATACAAAGTTTTACGGCTCTAGCTCTTGAGCAGTATGTGATATAATTTAATACCTGCATTTAGCTCATGTTATTATTCTATAGCAATAAATCGGGAACAGTTATCGAATATATGAATCAAACTTGATATGCGCATGCTGTACACGAACCTACAAGTCACTAGCTCTTATAGTTGCTAAGATCGACGCGTTCACGCATATGGACAGAGGGACAGGGCTCAATCGATTCGGCTTGTCGTCCTTATCAAGAATATATATATTTTATGGGGTCTGCCACGCTGCCTTCTGCCTGCGACATACATTTGTACACAACCATTATACCATGATTTCCCATATTCAATGGGATCAGATCAGGGTATAAGAATGTAAAACAAACTTATTAGTTCACCACAGAATGCATCATATCACCGAAAAAACTACTTTAGGCGACAAATAGATTTATTTCGTCTAACGCGTTGTTGTGCACCAACATTTACAAATTAGTACCTTAAATAATTTTTTTTTTTTGTAAAAAATTATCAAAAAAAATCGAAAACAAAGTAATCACTTATATGTTGCTCATCATGCAGTATCTGTTCATTGTGTATTATTATGAGAAATCTGAAATGTACAGCTATCTATCAAGGATATAATCGGAGCAGTTATTTATAAGTTATAATTAAATGTATCCCTAATTAAGTGTATACACAAAGCAAAAAGAACATATCTAGATACTTACAAAATCACATACATTTTTTTTATTGCGCGAAACTATCGTATGAGATTTGAATACTAGCGTTTGTATATATATATGCATTTTGTATGTATATTTGTATGTGCAGTCTTTGTAAGAAGGTTACAAAAAATACATGGCTAAGTATGTACATACATACATATATATGTATTTTTGAAACCAAATAATCTGTGTATTTGTACGCAGCATGTTTTTATCAGAATTGATTATCAGGTGACGACCCATTATGAACTATTATTCATTTTTTCAATGTCGCTCTCAGTAAACAGTTTATTCCCTTATACAACGGCAATCATGTTTACCATCAATCAACACAAGAAATTTGTTATACTGGACTGTGATGGGGGGAGTGACGATGCTTGGGCGTTATTACTACTTTTACGCGCTGAGCAGTGCGGTTTTATTCAACTATTGGCGGTGACAACAACCGGTTGTGGTAATACAACATGTGAAAACGCCGCACGTAACATGAGACGTATACTCACAGCTTGCTCCAGGAATGACGTGAGTACAAGAGACTACAAAAATAATTGGGAGTACTCTAGACCGGAAGGCCCGACTAGCAAATATCTTGAACCCTGTACAGAGCTACTATCATAGGAGCCGTGTTCTTCATATCCTATATACAATTGCTTAGTGAGTCAATTAAAGCTCAAGATGTCCGAACTTTTGAATATAAATATAGCAACCACTATTAGAAATCACTATCAATATTTGTTAATGTATTTCGGCAGCCTGCCTACCAAGTATGATGTCTTTAGTCAATATTATGTTAAAGAACGCTGGTGAGGGTGGATTTATTGAATTATAAAATCTATACGAAATATTGATACTCTTTTAAAATACATATGCTTGACTTAATTGTGTTTACAACCTGTGACAGACAATATATTTTTTCAATTTATATCTTTAATATCGACCAAATAAGTTGTGCTTTTTACTGTAATATCTATCCTCATTATACTTTGAACTCATTGAAAATGGGAATTCAGGGTATACTGGTTTTGTGAATATGCATGTAACAGGAAGAAGGAGACGTGGCAGATCAAATACTTAAATATATTTTTGATTGGGATACCGATCTGAGTCGATGTAGCCTAGTCTGTCTGACTGTCTGCCCGTCTATGTGAATGCAGCGATCTCGTAAACCAAAAAAACTAGGGACTTGGAACTTTTACTGAATGCTTCTGTATGCCATGCGTAGTACAAGTTAATAATTTTTTTTTTTTCATAACATTCGTTTCAATATATTCAAAGGGTTTTACTAATTTTGTAGTAAGTGAGTGTAGCTTGCATACCGTAAGTGTTGGAGACTTCAGATTTATTGTACCGGTTTCTGTAACGAAAATAAAGATTTTGTATATTTTATATTTACTTTCTCCCTCCATCATTCTCCCCAATTTGCAAAAATCGTACTTTAAACACTAGAGACTTGTGCCTTGGCAAAGACAAACATATGAATTTTGTCATCAAGTTTAAAAAATTTGAATAAGAAAGCCCATCTAGAACAAGTAAGAAAGCTCTTTTCGGGCTACCCGAAATCCCCTTATCACAGTCTCATCTGCGATGTTTTAATATTTTCAATAGTTTGTATCGAGTATTCAAAAAAAAAGCAAATAAAAATCATAAAAGATGGGGAAAGTCTGGTGTAGGTAACTGGTGTAGGCCAAATACATTTAATCGGGAAGAGCAAATTAGTACTTTATATGGAGTGTTTATTTTTTAAAGACATTAACCTTTTGTTGGAATCATTGTTTAGATACCAATTTACATGGGCGCAGTAGAACCACTTGCTGGTTACGTCGATGCGGATAGAAAGTTATTTCATGGACGCGATGGATTCGGTGATTGCCTAAATGATGAAAACAGTTTACATATATCCAGTTATGTGCAACCACAGCATGCAGTTATGGCCATACACGAATTTTGCAAGCAACGACCTCAGCAAATAACTATTATTGCGGTGGGTCCACTCACTAATCTGGCACTGGGTTACACTATGTATGGTGAACAATTTGGACTGTGCATCAAAGATATTTACATAATGGGCGGAAACTATCAGGGAGTCGGAAATTCGTCACGTTCCGCCGAGTTTAATTTCCATTCAGATCCGGAGGCTGCACATGCTGTGCTGTTAAAAACCCCATGTCCAATTACTATACTGCCATGGGAACCATGCACCAAAGAGCGTTTCAACATACCTATAGTGAGCAATAAATTTCCAATGTGTGTGGAATTTGTTTTTACATATTGATTAATATGAATAATTGTCTTTCAGAACTGGCGCCTAGGTGAGTTTGTTCAATGCGCTGCTGCTTACAAACACCTTGCAATCGATATACTTAACCAAGTAGAAAATTCCCAGTATGAGATGGATAATTGGAACCCCTGCGATGCATTGTTAGTAGCAGCATGGCTTTTTGAAAAACAGTTTATTAAAAAGTCGAGTACTTGGAATGCGACCGTCGATCTTACAGGTACACATACTCGTGGGCAAATGGTCCTTGATCATTTAAGAGAGTGTAAAAAGTTTCCAGAGAATGTTCGCATCATTGAATTTGTCGATGACGAATGTTTTAAACATATTGTTGAGTGGGCTGCTGGATTGCGTGATACTTTAGACGAAAATAAATAACCATATAACATCCTTACGTCGAGACTAGCAAAATACATGTAACTCTAAATTCGTTGTCAATAAACTTTTTAGATAACACGTTTATATATTTATTTATACAATGAATTTTAAGCTTCACAAGCAGGCAACTCAAATTTGACGTGCAATTGAGAATTGTAGAAGGTAGTCAATGGAAATGACAGGTAACCAAACGTAAACAAATAGTATCTGTTTTAATCTTAACAGTATGGCCGGAAATAAATACATTTGAAGGAGTATAGAGCAGTTATACAACATAAAAAGTGAGCTTCGATAGGCGACCATTTCGGTTGATGTCCTATATTTCTGTTGATCGTAACTAAGAGTAATGGATTTAACAATCAAATATAATGGGCTTAAAAAAATATATTAGATGATAATAGTCATTCATGGTCTAAGCCAGCTCTAAAACTGTGGAAGATATATTTTTACCGACTTGTCACGGCCTCAAAAGGAACAGAAGGTTTCGCATTAAAGTTGAAGAGTACAGGCTTTTGAATTTTTTTTCATAAGTTAACACACGCAGCAAAGCAAACACAGACTACTGCCTAATACCGATAATAATCACGGTCGGCAAATTGTCAGTGCTGAACACATAGCAATACCCGATATTCCCACATTCGTGTGGCAAGTGGTGGTTATGAGATATAAGATACCTGAACCCTGCAAAGCGGTGATATTCCAATCCAATGCGCTTCCTTTATACAAATTATATTAGGTTTGTTGGTGGAGGCTTGACTTCGTTACTTACTTACTTACTGGAATTGTGGCTCAGCAATTAATCAATAAGTGTTTGGTCAAAACGGCTAGAAGCTATTTCATTGAAACGAATACAACAGCAGTGCCGACTAAACGTAAACAATAACGCTGCTTTTGCAACACACGCAAGGGATCATGTTACCGACACTGACCGTTACAATAAGGGCGTTGATAGCGCACCATGGCTTGGGAAATACCGCATACTCTATCTTTTCTCGCTTTGATGGTTCATCCTGTGCAGGAGTGGCAATCTTAGGATTCCGCAATAACCGGAATCTTACTTAGGGCTTCCCGTTAATTGACGTATTCAACGCCGTTTCATTGCCTTACGCTCGAAGGTTATTAATTAAGATCCGTTAATAGATACTTCTAACCCCTCATCTGTTTTGACTCTTGCACTTTTTGACCCTTTGACTGTTTGCTCTCAATTAACATTACGATACCGTCATCTATGACTGAGACTGGGCCAAGTGACTTGGCTGAGAACGACCGTGATCCGTTCCTCCAAAGTGTAGGCAGCGTGCGCAAATGTCATGATGAATTTTCAAATTACTGCGAAGGAGGTTGCATCGTAGTTGGTGACTGCCAGAATTTGGTTGTTGCATTCAGCTACTATGTCATTTTTGAAGAATTTCATGTCCGTGTGACACATTAATTATTATATAAACAATACTATGTGATTAGAGGAACTTAACAGATGAGGTCTCCAATAAGCTAACTATGGGTATCTCTGTAGGATGTTCAGACAGTACGGCTTTTAAATCGGTGTGATCCAATATAGAAGGATTTACAATATGTGTAATTGTGAGCATCAGATTCTGAATTTTAGTAATCAACATACTATTCCTCGCTAAAAGCGTAGAGATGTTGATTGTCTATGTGAATAAACTTGACTGTATTGGTTTTCAGTTGTGTACTGATCTTTATTCGTTTGAGCTAGAGTTCTTATACCCGTTTTTATTTCATCCTCAGCGTTGGTATGTCGAAGCATGTCATTTGATCTATTCCTATTGAACTCCCTGCAAGTGCTTGAATGCATGACGGCATACGTGGAATTCTTGAATATGCTTTATGTTCATGCCTGAACATTCTGCGGGGGCCAAATTTGACAGTTAGCAGTTGCCGCCTCTGGTTTCTCCTCTTAATCCGTTGCCTGTGCCTCCGTCTGTATAGCATTTCAAATTTTCGATGCTTCCCAGAGATTATTGGCCGATAATCCAGTTATATTGCCGGAGAAAATCCATCCAAGTTCGGTCTTTTGTCCCAGAGTTTTGTTGATTTTCTTTACTTTTCCCAACATTATTAGGGAAAGTATATCAACGCCAATAACAACATAATTGACTGGGCTCGTTAAAATGTGGGTCTGCTAGCGCGCAGTCATTCCAATCCATATTGATATGCATGTCAATTTTATTGGTCGGAAGAGCTCTCGGAAGTTTTGGCATAACAAGTACCTGCGTTGTAGTGACGAATTTGCTTTTAAAGCTGGGTTTGATTGTTAAGCAAACACTATTTTTAAGAATTTCCCCATGTTGCGAAATTCCTTGAACTTCCACGTTCCGTTTAGTTCGGCGCAGTTTTAACTGTTGTGCAGCTTCTTCAGATATTAAGGTATTTTGCGAGCCTTCATTTATAAGAGCCCTTAGCTGCTCATATTTACCAGACTTATTTTTAATCTGGATAAGCGCAGTCGCCAGCAACGTATATTGTCCTTTATATTCATTTAGACAGTTGCTGCTGACGGTCTCATTTTTATTTGCAGCTTCGTGAAGCAAATAGTTGTGTGCTTTGGTGCACTGATTGCAAGTCCGATTCATTTTGCAATCTTCAATGCTATGGGTGCCAAGACATTCATAGCACAGCGTGCTTTTATGCACAAACTCCTTGCGCATATTAACAGGTTTAGCTCTAAATCTCGGACAGCTGGTTATCTCATGTCCAGTCAATTGGCAAAAACGGCATATTTTGTAGCTTGTTGTCTTTGCCTCCATCGACGTATGGATGGCACTCTTTTCCACTGAGTCTATTGAGTTATACAGTTGCTTTACATGTTGCTCGTAAAGTTGTAGGACTTCCGTAGAGAATCGTCGCAACAGAATCTGAGCGAATGGAACGTCAGTTTCATTACCAAATTGACCTTTTTCTTTGATAATGAAAATACATTCTGTTGCTGTGTCCAAGAACTTGCGGATACTGACTTCATCATTGTTCTTCAGCAGTTCCATGTCCACTAGCTGTTTAACGGCGCTACCAAATATTTCATAGCGCTTGCATACCGGTTCCCACGTTGAATTGTAACTAGCAGACAAACCAATTAATGAATGGCCTACGACCATTTTGGCTTCTCATTTGAGGCATGAATTCAGGTAGCTAAGCTTATTTGTGTCGCTGATATCTTTCCAGTTTTGAATAGCCTCGAAGAATAGTTCGAAGAACTTTGGCCACTATTTGGGACTTCCATTAAAGTGAGGAATATCCACTTTCGGTAGCTCTGGAACCTCTTCTTTTATATTTTGCAAGCCACCTACTTTTCTGCTTAGTTTGCTTGTGAGTATGCTGACATTGCATTCCAGCTCGTCGATCTCATCGATATCAAAAGCAAATTTCCCATATTTTGTCTCTAAATCCAAGAGCGGTACCTGGACTTTGGTCCACAGGAAAATCAACTTGTCTTTATAGTCAAGGATTTCTTCCTGGCTACTGAGCTCCAGATTGGCATATACTTCTTGCATGTGTTGTCTTAGTTTTAGAGCTCGTGTGTCCACAAGGTCTACCATCACATCCATTGGGCTCGAGCTTCTTTTGGGAAAATATTATTTCCTGCTGCCTGTGCTGTGCATTGGATGTAGAATTCTTGAATATGCTGTATGTTCATGCCTGAACAGTCAGCAAACTCATTTCTTTTTGCTTTTAATATTTTGTGTATGGTATCCGTAAGCCTCTATGTTCCTGGGTTTTCGTATGTAGTACTACCTGCCTATTATTTGACTCCGACATCCTTTTGATTCCGTCATCCTTATCATGTCAAAATCTGCGGTATCAGGTGTGCCGGCACCATAAGTGCCATGCGCAAAAAACCTAAGGTTCGGGCAATTCTATGATGTACCCTTAAAACGAACAACAGATTTCTGGTGTGGTCTAAATCCACGTTTAGTAATTTGAACATGTGAAAGGTTTCGGATATTCTACTTGTTTCGTCTAATATTTCCTCAAATTCGATTAAGTTGCTACAGTGTCTAAGATAGGTTTTGTGTTCTCATACCAATACATTACTTTCAACTATCGGTATATATCTGGACTATTCTAATGCTGATCTGAGCATACGCTGTTGCCAGCGGGGCAATAATCAAGCTGATAGCCCAGCGGGGAAAAGATGATTTGAAATCAATTATAACTATTGAGTACGATGGAGATAGAAAAACTACTTGTGGTTGTCTTTATGGACCACTCTCCCTTTAAGGAAAACAGACGTTTCCAGGCCTGCTTGAATGGTCCTAGTCCTTGGTTTCTTTTTACAAAGACCTTTTCCCCTACATCAAATACTCTGTTTTGCTTCGTTCAAGTTCTGCTGAAGTTCTGCTCAATCAGGATTTTCCCGTCACCAAATGCAGGGAATGATTATAAGTTAACAACTAAACATATAAGATACACCCTCACAGTCATACATTGTTATTTCTAAGTACGCAACACACGATCATAAGTATTTGGTTGCCCTCAGCAACAAATACAACAACATACAGTCTTAAGCATTTTGGTTGCCCTCAGCAACAAAGTAGTATTCTTGTAAATAATGCTGATCCGCTGCCATGAGTTCTGTGCACAGCAACTGAAAACGACACCCGTGCTGCTTGCGCAAGAATGCTGAGTCGGCATGCCGACTCTAGCGTATGGCGTGATGCATTGACTTCACAGGGCAAACTTAAGCTTAATCATTTCTGTAGCCTTCAGTCTTAATCTAGATCGCAATAATATAAGACGAACGAATGATTAAACTCCGGCATTGCCGTCAATAAACTTTATTTGTGTTATCAATCATAGTTGACCACGTCCGAGACGGGCAACTGGGAAAGTTCCCACAACCTAATCATCATTATTCCAATAGTCACCTGTTGGATTCATCAACCACACATCGTCGCCAGACAATGAGGTCACGGAAGACATAATTTATATTCCAGGGCTGCGTGTAAGATTAATTCGAGGGAGTCGTCGATCTTTTTATCAATCTTAAAGCTATTTCCAGTAGTGTACTGTGAAAACGCTCCACTTGACCATTAGAGGTGCTGTGAAGTGGTGTGG